CGAAAATGGAATTGGTTGAGCTCAACAAAATCAATCTTACACCAGGATATCTGCCCACGAAGAAGATCTACGAGTTGGAAGAGGGTGAAATCTGCAAGATTAGCCAGTTGACAACGGTCTTCACCAAGTTTGGCTTGCAATATGTCGCCACAATTGAAGCCGAGTTTCAAATTTTCCTTCCCGCTAAGACTGTGAAATTTTTCAACGCCAATGCTGACGTCTTTGCAAAATTAGTGGAATCTACCAACAATAATCTACTATACCTACACTATCATCAGAAATAAGATAATTTATTTGAATTTGTAATTGAGAAATCTTAGAAAACTTCAATAAAAATAATAATAATAATAATAATAATGAATTCAGTAATCGTGTATATTCCTATTCATCTCAAACTATTGTTTTTTAACTGGTTATTGTTATTATTTTTTATTTTTCTTATCTTTTTATTTTTTAATTTTAGTTGAATCTTCTCAAATGATTCTCTACTGTGTATATGTATATTGTGTTATGTATATTTTCTAACCGATTGTATGAATACGGGAATACGGTTAGAAGAAGAATACGGGATGTATTCTTGAAAAAATAAATATTATTACTACTACTACTACTACTACTACTACTACCATTAAATATTAATTTATATATTGAGTTCAGAGAAGTTATTTAAATTAAATTAAGTAATTATAGTAAAAAAATATATAAAACGATAAAACAATTAAAATTTCAAAACATTAATGTATTAATTGAGTTCAGAGGAGTAATTTAAATTAAATCATTACAATAAAAATACTAAAACTTTAATTTATATTATAAAATATATTTAATTAAAAGGAGAAATTTAAATTAAATTCAAATAATTATAATAAAAACTATAAAAATACTAAATATTAATTTATCTATTGAATTCAGAGAAGTTATTTAAATTAAATTGAATTAAATAATTGTAGTGAAAAAATATATAAAATGATAAAAATTTCAAAACATTAATGCATTAATTGAATTCAGAGGAGTAATTTAAATTAAATCATTACAATAAAAATACTAAAACTTTAATTTATATTATAAAATATATTTTGAATTGAGAGGAGAAATTTAAATTAAATTCAAATAATTATGATAAAAACTATAAAAATACTAAATATTAATTCATATATTGAGTTCAGAGAAGTTATTTATATTAAATAAAATTAAATTGAATAATTATAGTGAAAAAATATATAAAACGATAAAAATTTCAAAACATTAATGCATTAATTGAATTTAAAAGAGTAATTTTCTTAAATTAAATTAAATTCAAAAATCAAAATAATTATAATAATAATAAATATAATATAAAAAAATACTAAAACATTAATTATATGATGATGATGATGATAATATAAAAAAAAATAAATGTTATTAGAATAAATAATAATAGAAAAATGAATAAAAAATTAATAATAAAAAAAAATAAGTATAAAATTTATACCAATCAAAATTATTGATCAAAATTTGATTCGATTCCTACATCATCATCGAATGATGATGATGATGATGATGAGCAGTTTCCATCAGAATTATAATCAACATTTTCTGATGGGTACCAACCTATCTCTTGGAAATTATTATTATTATCATCATTACTTTGACAGTCAGATAATATAACCGTTGACATCATTAATGATGATGGAGAAGGTGCAGCTGGGGTAACACACGTGCGTGATGAGAGCTGGCAAACTTCACACATATGCGTCGGTAGCTTCGCCTCAGAGTCCATATCATCAGCAGAACTTGTAGCTCTTGGGTACGTCCAATTTGCAGCTTCATCATTATCTTCATTATCCTCACTATCAGCGATGTAACCATCTTCATCATCATCATCATCATCATCATCAACATCATCATCATCATCATAATCGTTTAATCTCAACCGTAGTAAATGAAGTCCTGGAAGCCCAGTTAATGTTCCAGGTTGTGGTGATGATGCTGCCAGTGGCGTTGGCGATGATGATGATGATGATGATGATGATGATGCTGACGGTGATACTGGTTCTAATCGCAGTCTCCGACGTGCTGGTGGTAGTGATGATGCCGGGGCTGATGTTGGTTCTAATCGCCGTCTCCGATGTGCTCGTGGTGATGGTGGTGGTGGTGGTGGCGGTGGTGATGATAATGATTGATTGCTAGGTCTTCGGTGAGGTGGTGATGAATTTCCCATATTTCCAAGGTGGACTCTGAGTCTGCTCAGTTCATTACTTGAAGAGCTTGATGAGCTTTGTCGCTTTGATGAGTAGTAGTAGTAGTAGTAGTAGTAGTAGTAGTAGTAGTAGTAGTAGTAGTAGTAGTAGTAGTTGTTAATGGATCCTTTTCAAACTCAACATACTTCATTTTTAGACAAATACCAAGGCCAAGTTTAATGATGAGCTTAATCGGTCAAGTAGTTCAGGAATTATATGGCTTCAAAATTTTCAAAATCCTAAAAATTTATTTTTTGGCTGATTTTTTCGCGCATAACGTTTGAATAAAATAACCTATCGAATTTTTGTAAATATTATTTCAAAGTCCATTAGACAAGCTTCAATTTTCATGTAATTTTATTTATCTAAACTGAAAATAACCTATTCGTCTGTAGGTTTTTAATGAAATTTTACTTTTGCAGTCGTTTTTCAGTAGATTTCATAGAAATCTAACTATTGCATTTGTCCTCATGACGCAACTTTTGAACAATTTTTATTACAATTTGTATTGTACTTATAAGTAACCTTTTATCATATCCGTGTGTCGGTCAATCTGTCATGACACAGATTTCCGCATCACCCTTGAGGTACTGTGTAAAACGACGCGTTCCCTTTCTTTTACATGGTGGGTCCCCAGTAGGCCTATACCATGGCAAAATGATTAATACAATCCAAGAGTTTTTATTGTCGTGTTTATTAGTAATTTGGTTTATTATTAAATTTCATTTCATTAAGGTTAAATTTGATTTTTTTTTTCATTTTCAACAGTATAGAATAGAATTTATTTTTCTTGCTCTCTTAGCCGAAAGTACGCTCTTCCTTGAGTAAACCGACTTTCTGGCCTTAGGTCTTAATATACTATATATAAGAACATAAAATTGATGCGTATTAAAAACGTGACCATTCCTGAATTAGAAAAAAAGAAATTAGATAAAAAAAGACCATTCGGCAGCCGAAATGGAAGTAGATTTCATTTTAATAAAATAATTATTATTAAATTTTTAAATTTTTAAATACAAAATAATAATAATAATAATAATTCAGTGATAATAATTCAATTTAAATTATAAAAGTATGTAATTTTTCATCGATGTTTCTTTATTACGTTATCACGTAAAACTATCGTCCGTAAATTGATTTTACAGACAACTAATTTTTTTTTTTATTAAAAAAAAAATAATTACAAAAAAACACTTTAAAAATTATAAGTTTAATTTTAAAAAAAAATATTTTTTTTTTTTTGTAATAATATAATTATTAAAAAAATTAAAAAAGTAAAATGCTAATTGTCACTTTTTCATTCGAAACTTATGAAATTCAAAAGGTTCATATATTAAAAAGTGATAAAATATTTACAAAATAAATAATTGAACCTTTTTCAAAATATATTATTTTTTTATTACATTTTTTATAATTACTCTGAGCATTAAAATTTAGTTATATTATTATCATATTCAATTAATATGACTGCGCTTAATCACGCTCTTGCGCGCGCAAATAAGTTCTAGTCTTAATTTTATTATAGGTTACAGATGCGGGCATTTATGTCTTGTGTACTAAAGTTAGCCCCCTGAATGTTATTTTACCAATTGAGTGCCAACTTAAGTTCACTGGACGATAATGCCTACGTTTGTAGTGCCACCTGCTGGATGCGATCACCATATCACATTATTGACTGTACTATTGATGTATTGATGTATTGTACAAATTGACAGCAATATAATACACCTACATGCCATTACCATGCACACCACGCCACCGTCAGGCAATTAATAGTGTTAAAAGTACATCTACCTATTGGGTATCTACCTTGTTTACATTATACACGTGTTTTATTACAAGTTTGTGAAATGTGCGCTATATGACTGTATATATATTGATAATTTGTTCAGTTTCCTTGCTTTTCGTAGAAAAATTTATTAAAAAAATAAATTGGTTTCAAATGCTTTAAAAGTGATAAGTACTATTCATATTTCTTTCATAATTAATTTTTTTTATAACCTCGGTTATAAATTCGCTTGTTCGAACGTCGAGTTTCTATGGAGCACCTGGTTACATGTCATTTGTAAGTTACTTATTAACAAGTAAGTCATTTAATTATGTATGTATTTATAATTATTTAATTATGACACTGAAGTTGACAGAAAGTAATTTTTTTTTTATAATTTTTTTTTTGTAATGAAATTATTATAAAAAAAATTTTATGAATTATGATACTGAAGTTGACAGACATTAGAAATTTTTTTAAAATTATTTTATATTGAAATTATTATAAAAATAATTCAATGAAAAATTTCACATGTAAAAATTAATAAAAATTACAAGTGAAAATTTTTAGAAGCATTTTTTTATTGTACTTAATTTGATATTCAAATTTTTAAAATTGACAGCTGACGGCTAACTTCAGTATTATAATTATATACGTTTGTATTTTTCTAAACAAAAAAAAAAAAACAATCTATTAAACAAATTTTCTTTTGTTTTTGATCATTTATATATACGTTATTAATCGTCTAAGTTGATCCTTAGTTTCAAGCAGATAAATAAATATAAATAAACTTTTAATTTTGAAATTATTATAATTATAAAAAAACTATAACCATAAAAAAATTATAATTATATAAAAAGAACTATTATAAAAAAAAAATTATAATAATTATATAAAAAAACTATAATTATAAAAAAAAAAAAAATGGCTACACCACGAGAAAAAGTAACTTTGACTCCAACTTCCGAAATTGAAAAGTTTATACCCGGAAAGTCTTGGTAAAGCTAAATAAAATGATTTTTCAATATAATTTTTTGTTAACCTATGTTTTTTTTTTTTTATTTCTTAGTCAAATGATTGGTTATGTGGATGCCATTGAGTCAGAAATGCGTTTTACTAACTCTCGAGTTTTTAAATTTGTTTTAAATAATGGATTCGGAACAAGAATCCAAGTTAATTGCTGGAATGAACACATTGAGCGAATTAAAGAGAAAGTAATTATGGATAATGTAAGTGTTTTATTTAAAATATTTATTATTATAAATAATCCTGATTAAAATATCTTAATTATTTTATTATTATTATTATGATTATTTTTATTAATGTTATTATAATTATTTTAGATTATTTATCTAGAAAAAGCTCACTGTGTTACTAGCACTGATTATAATAGAGGAAATTATAAAAGAGCTGAACTAATAATTAACAAATTCACTAATGTTGAGATAATGGGGGCCTTCAATGATGAAAATTGTGAAATTCCTACAGCTGAACCTGTTGTTCTTCAAGAATTTCAATTAGAAGATTTAGAAAAATCAATTTTACCGTGGAAGTTTAGTAAGTATTCATACAGTTGGTATTTTTTTTTTTAATCAAAATTTTACAAATTTATTCATTTTTAACTTTTGTTTTGCAGAAATTTCAGGTTATTTAAAAACTCAATTTTCAAAAATTGGATCAGAGAATCCAACTCAAGTTAAAGGAATCTTTACTATCACTGATGGTATTCGAAAGCTGGACGTGACGACTAACTTCTTTTCAGACAATCATGAATATGTGAGAGGAGATTCCCTACAACTAAGTGGATCTATTTTTCATTTGAGTGAGTGAAAATTTATTTTTAACATTACTAATCATGAATGAAACTAAAAAAGGCAAGAATAATCTATAAAAATTAGGAAAACGGTTGACCCTGAAGGCCATCCTTGCAACTTCCCGCCAATTTTATACCTAAACGCTTGAAATTACATTTATAAAGTTTTAGAGCTCTTCGAGCTCATAAATACAATTTGTTTATTATTTTTAGCTCTCCGAGCTCAAAAAAATAGCTTTTGTATGCTTTTGAGCTACAAACACTATTTTTTGAATTTCGAAAAAACCACTTTTGAAAAATTTTTTTTTTGTAGTTTTTTTACGATTTCTCAAAATCTATCGGTACGAATCGGTTCAAATTTTCAGGAAATCTAAGTTTGGGCGAGCCCTTTCGAATGGCACCAACCGCGATCAAAAATCGGTCAAGCCGTTTAAAAGTTATAAGAGGTTTACATACACACACACACACACACACACACACACACACACACACACACACACACACACA